CAGGGGGAGCGGAGTGGAGGGTGACTTCTGGTGGAGTTTGGAGGATGGCGTGACCCCCCTCTGTCCTCTGCCTCTCTGCCCGTGCCATCAGCACCATGCAGAAGAAAAGCCCTTTCATGGGGAGTCCAGCTGGCGCTGGGCTGGGGGCTGTGTGGCCGTTACACACGTACACACACACACACACACACACACACACTGTCGCGTCTGGATGGACCAGTGGAGAAGCATTTCCTGGACGGCCTGCAGCCACTGAGATAACCGCGCGCCGGGAGGACACACACACTCGCTCTGAGGACACACTCACCCTGAGGGGGAGGGTGGGGGGGGGTACTCTGGCTCTCACGTGGAGCCCCAGTTAGCCTCGGTGCAGCGTTGGAGCCTGTTGGTTGAACCCGTTCCACTCCCTGGCCATGCACATCCCCCTTATAAAAAGTCTGAGCAGGTCTGCAGAGTTCCTCCCTAAAACCGGCTCCGAAGGCACCGGCACGCACCACCATGGTACGCAGCCCACAAACCTGTGAAAACGTTGCCACGGCAACAATCAGGAAACCGCCCGGTCGGACCTCCGTGCAGCAGCAAAACCGATCCAGCTGGATTCTGATTTTCTCCAATGAAAATAACTGAAAATAACTGGAGTGGGAGGGGGGGGGGGGGGGGGGGGGGGTTGCAGATTTCAGCCCAGAAATAGCTGGATTTGACCAGAAAAGCAGCTCTGCATGGGCATATCGGCCGGAGCTGTCCTCCCAGGTCACACCGTGGCTCCTGTGCATATTTTGGTTATCAGGACATTCGAAAAAAATGCAGCGTTTCAGTTTGTCAGGTTTTTTCTCACCCCACAAATCCATGAAGGTAAATCTGAACACCGCGGCCAAACAAGGCGAATTAATTCTGTTTCATTCCTTTTTTCTGTTGAGCTGCTGTCTGTATATATCACTTTTTTTATTGCTCATAATGTGAAAGCGGTTAGAAGTGCCTATGAGGACACCGCCCTCCTCCTTAGGAGGACCTGGTGGCCTATTCCAGGAAACACTTGAGAAACCCTCTGAAAAGCTGTTATGTGGTGAGTCAACCTATTGGGTCGATGTGATTGAAAATCCTTTAGCATATTCATTTATTTAAATCACATCCAAGTCAATTTAAAGCTGTGAAAGGCTTCCCTTGTCATAAAACTTAGGAATATACAGTTCTGACTAACGCAGATGAGTCTTTAGGGGATTAGCAACTGCTGAGGCGGGACTTTGAAAAGTCATTTAGTGGCACAGTGGCGGAAATCTACACCAAGATGTGATCACACACACACGGACTGGGAGGGCTCGATCCGCTCCTGCCGGACCAGCAGACGGCTGATAAAATATGTAATTATGAAAACACCCAAAAATATTTCCATGTTTCTGATTTTTCTTTGATTGGGGAGATTACCTCGTCCCTTTGATACACAGATACGTGAGACTTATTGCACCGTCATATCGTCAAAATCTGATTTTGAAATGGAATATTACATCCTTTTTTGGGACTTTAGTTCATATTAAAAATGTTTTTGTTGCATTTTGTAAAGTAAAAAACAAGCCTTGGACTCTTGGCTGATGGGACTGAGGCGGCCTGGTGGTCGTTCCTCTGCCGGCCCATCACTACTTTCCTGTCTGTTGCTTTATCCTGAGTGCTCAGGTGACTGAGAGCACTCCTCTCCACCCGGGTGACTCACACCCTCAGCAGCTTTGCCAACAAATTCAATCCCTCCCACATGAGGACCCAGATCGGGGAGGTCAGGCTCTATCTGTGTACAGAGGCACGTTCCTCTCCGACGCTCAGAAACAAAGTGGAGCAGACGTGATTGAAAGTTGCCGGGATCAGAGTGAGGGCTGAGCTGTGGGCCCCCCCCCGGGGGGGCGGCGGCCGGGGGGGTCCTAACGTCTGTCGGGGAGATAAGAGCCCAGCTCAGGACCTCCAGGCTGAGGCTTATCGCACACAGACCTGGAGGGACTGCAGGCACACGCCTGAGCGGGGAGGGGGGGGGCGAGGGCTCCACACGGCTGGATGGGAGGCTTAAATCTGGCCCCGGCATCAGGGGGGGGGCAGCAGAGCAACTCTAGTCTGTTTCTGCCTCTGTCTGTCAGTGGAAGGATGCTGGAGTCAGTAGTTGAGATGAGCACTCTTACTTTCCAGAAGTTAACTTTAAAATACTGTTTGCGTTTGTTTGTGGTTAAATTAGATTAAGACGTACTCTTTAAAAAGAAAAGAAAGACAAGCGATATTTCAGGTAGAGTTCGGAATAGACAGTAATTAGACCACACCACTGCGTTTCCATGGCAACATCACCCATCCTCCCCTCAGAGGTGAGGAAGCAGGGTTGAGATGTGTCTGCGGTGCTTCTTAAACCAGCTTTTCACACATCGAACGGCGTCTGTATTTAAATCCAGAGCTCCTCACGCTCCCCTGTGAAGAATCCGCCGCTGGCTCGGGGGAGAGGGACGCTCAGGCCTGAAGTCATGTGTGAAAAGCTTTGAGCCAACATACGTGTGCTGTGCTTCCACTTCCGCAGTCACGATGCTTAAAAGGCCTGGGAAAAAGGTTAGTCAGGTGAGCCTGAATATCACCAGTCTCCTGTACACAGGCGTGACTATTACAGGTTTCACATTTGTGTGGCAGAAAGCGCTTTAAGCTGCGTTTGATATGGACGAAAGAGGAGCCTTTTTAAAGGCGGACCTCTGCTCCGACTCGTCATTTAAAGCAAACTGTTGGCAATTTAAGGGAAATATAAATTGAAGGAAGAGGCAAGACTTTGGGGGGCCTTTCTGGTTCTATGTGGTAGGTGCAAAAATGACACCTAATTAGGATTAGGCCTGTAATGAGCTTAAAATACAACGTGCTTCCATGGAGCATAATAGCTGTACATTTAGAAAAGCGTCTGTGTGTTGCAGGAGCAAATTAGCAGAATTAACAGAGGCAATTAGACCTTTAATTAACTGTGCACGAGCAAAAACAGGGTTTAAAAGGTAGAAATGTAGAAATGCAGTGACTCTGTGGAATTCACGGTGGTTATTTCTAGAAATTGGTAGATTATTATGTATATGGGAAAGAAGCCGAAGGTTGCCGTTTTATTCCCAGTGGGTGGGGGTCTCTACTGGGGGATGTGAATCTGGACCATGATGCCATTTCAATGCACTGTTGGTGGTACAACGCGATGCGTTACCGATCCAGTAAAGCCCCTGCCGATATGATGCGATACCATTCAGCCCTTCTCACGATATCAAGCTGCAATTTGTCCTCATACAATGAGATCTGGATCGAAACGATTCAACACAATAAAAAGACTTCACAAGCCCACAGCTGGTTTCTAAACACCAGTTATTTTTCCTCTGTTTCCCTGTGAAGGCATGTTTTATACCTGATTGTGTCCTATAAGGAAAACCACGAAATCCACCTGAAAAAGAGGATTGCATGTCACTATGATACAGACATGGGATTGTTTTATTCCCACTAAACACTAAATCATCAACTATTTTTTATTACATTTAAAATATATATTTTTTCTGCTTAAAAACAAAAGAACAGAAGAACACTATATTATATTATATTATATTATATAACCAAATTTAGGACTCGTTTTCAGGTTTAATTTCTCTTCTTAAGCTGTTTTCCTGCTTCCGTCCAGTTTGTCCATAAACACAAGCTGTGCATTCAGCCTGCTGTATCTCTCGGGTGGAGCTCAGAGTCGTAGGTTCCTCTCAGTTGACACGCCGGCTCATTGTGTGGAGACACCACAGATTCGTTATAGTCCTGAGTGTGGGGAGCCAGGCCTTCTTTTGGATTTTTTTTCCATTCCCTGTGCAACATACAACAGTTTGACAGAAACTTTCCACTCCGGTGGTCAATGTAGGCCATCACAGCATGGCCATCCCAGCCTGCAGCCTGCAGCCATGGAGCTGATGAAGCATGAAAATGCTAGTTAGTGCTAACATTAGCAGTCTGTTATTGTGATTTTTAAACCTGTTGGGAATGCCTGCTGTGCAGCTAATGCTGCTCAGTCTCATCAGTCTCTTTCCCATCAAGAGCAAACACTCATCTTAATTGTTTCTATGGGTGATAATGCCTTATAAGTGGGTTGTGTTACAGATAATTGCACAGTCTGAGCTGCGGTCAGCATTGAAGATTCATAGACACACAGGTGCCCACAGATGTTGATTAAAGCATTTTTTTCAACCAGAAATAGCGACCTTTTATGAGTTATTACCTCGGATTTGCTGTCCATCTTCTATGTTTGACTTTATCCAGCATATCTGTTTCAGCTCAGACCTTTCACTTTGTGGCTTTATTTAAGTTATTTAAAAGATGGTTCCAGTCTTCTGGGGATTTTCTGCTCAGGTCTTTGTTGATGTGGAATCGACATTGATGATGCAGTTTTAAGCAGTCAAACCGAAATATTGAATTATTCCCGAGCCTGATTGGTTTTTGATAAGCAGTGACTTCTTAACCTGTGAGTCAGACTCATTTGTTAGCCCTCTGGGGGAAAAAAAATGGAAAGAGGGGTGAGCTCATTGTTTGAACTGAGCCAAGCCGAGGTTCTGGCTCCAATCAGGGTGAAGCAGAATGTGGGTGACCCTCCAGTGATCAGGGGAGCACGCGCTCAGCCCGCCGCCCCTGGGCTTCTTTCCACTCATTCATTTCCCTCTTTTGGGGAGGGGGGGGTTCTGGGTCTGCTTTCCCAGGCTGAACGTCCTCAGCTCGTTGCCGTGCCTTCGCAGATCTTCGGTTTCATCCAGTGGCTCTGCCTCACACGTCGCCATCCTGCAATCTGTTTGCACAAAGGCACGTTGGAGCCGTTGAGTCATTTTTTCCTTTGTCCAAAAAACCTTCTTTTCATTTGTGTGCTTC